TATTTCACCCTTATTTGCTGCATATCATATTTAATACTACCGGCATTGTGGTGAAGTAACCGTGTTTTCAATTTTTGCAGATGGTCAGAAGAATCTCCATTAGAAAGCGAAATAGATCGACACATCTTTACGTTCCTCCTCCTGAAGACAGTGAAGATGAATATCCAAAAGGTTCAAGCTCAAGTGATGATGAATCTAGTTCAATTGACGCATCGGATCTAGAGGATGAAGGTGATCTCCCATTGGCACAACTACGTCGTGGTCCTACTAAAAATCAAAGGAAGCCATTATGGTCGCCAGTTCCTTTGAATTCGCCGCGTTCAGTTCCCTTCTTCGAAGAAACTGTAAAAGAAGACGTCGATGTTTGGAGACCAAGTGATTATTTCTTTTATTTTTTCGACAAAGAATTATTGGAGTACATTGTTGATCAATCTAATTTATATTCCGTACAAAACAATCCGAACAAACCTCTAAAACTTACTTCTATGGAACTTGAACAGTTTATCGGTATCACATTATATATGTCGGTCATAAATTTGCACAGGACAAGAAATTATTGGAAAACGGATTTTAGAATACATCAGGTGGCTGACGTTATGAGTAGAGATCGGTATGAAACAATAAGAAGAAACTTGCATTTCAACAATAACATGAATATGAAGAGAAATGATGCAGACTATGACCGTCTATTCAAAATTAGACCGTTTGTGGAAAGGATCCTTGCAAAGTTTCAGAGCATTCCTTTGAAGGGGCAGATGTTCTGTATTGATTAACAGATTGTCCCATTCAAGGAAAAATCGTCGATGAAAACATACAATCCAAAGAAACCGCATAAGTGGGGTTACAAAATAATTATTCTATGCGACACCAATGGCACTGTGTACAATTTCGACATATTTACAGGCAAAATAGAACCTAAACCTGGACATCGCAATATAGGTGCAAGTTCCAACATAGTACTGCAACTATCCAATGGTGTACCAGACAACAAACATTATTTGATGTATTTTGACAATTGGTTTTCTTCACCGTTACTGTTAGTAGAACTGCAAAAGAGAGGAATTGGAGCAATAGGGACTATAAGAGTGAACCGATTTCCTGGGTGTACTTTTAGCAGTGATTCGGTTATGAAACGAAAGGGTAGGGGAACATACGAAGAAATTGAAACTACAATCGAAGATGTCCCTATACGTGCAATAAAATGGTTTGATAACAAAGGAGTAACATTGGCTACTACCTTTTCGAGTGCAGAACCCCTTTGCACTGCAGATCGCTGGGACAAAAAACAGAGGAAGAAGCTAACAATACAGAAACCTGCAGCGGTAGATATATACTACAAATTTATGGGAGGCGTGGACTTGTTAGACGGTCAAAGAGCGTATCATCGGATAAACGTACGATCAAAAAAATATTACATGCGGTTTTTCTATCATTTTATAGACATGGTTATAGTGAACGCATGGAATATGTACAAAACCGACTCCAAAGAAGCACACATGGAAAAGAAAGACATTCTGGATCAACTGAGTTTCAAGGCCAACGTAGCACAAAGTTTGTGTGTTTTGAACAAAAATGCAAACAAGAAGCGTGGGAGACCATCAGGTTCTGAGCGTGATTCAGTGGGTGCAGAGTTCGAAAGAAAAAAGAAAAGGGGTCCCACTGCTCCAATTCCAAATTGGGAGGTTAGAAGAGATCAGACTTCGCATTGGCCCATTGTTGTCAAAAATAGGCTTCACTGCAAAAAACCGAACTGCAAGAAATTAAGCTACATTAAGTGCTCCAAATGTTGCATACGTCTTTGTCTCAACAAAGATAGAAATTGTTTTGTGGAATTTCATAATTAAATAAGGAACTTATAATAAATAAACATAAATTACATATATGTATTATTGTTTTTGTCTATGCCTATTATATCAGATGTGATACAATGCCATTTTGGCACGAGAAATACATCGAAAAGATTCTGCAAGGCACACATCCTTCTAATAGACGCTAGATCAAATGTAATAACAAGTAAAAAAAATTTTATCTCACTTGGAAGTCCATTCAGGCATAAAGGGGTTAATAATTATGTAACACTATGATATGTTTCATTTATGTAACATCTCAATCCCCTCTGATACATATCATAGTTGTTACATTTTTACTTTCGAGAGCAAGTTCACTGGTAATTCCTCAAGTAAATGAGTGTTATACTTTGTTTCACTGGTGCTGAACCTGACGTCATAAATGTGATTCTCTCTTCATTACATTTAAATCGATTGAGACAAAAAAATTACGTCATTAACGTAAGTCGTGACAAATAAACCAATTATTGATCTGTCAATAATATCAATCCGTCAAACGATTTTCGTTATAGACAGATTTCCAGTGTTAAATGCCTTTTGATTAGGTAGTTTGTGTTAAAAGTGAAGTAAATATCATCAAAGTTGAAAACGCTTAGACAAGTCCACAGTGCAGCAACGCCGTTAACAGACAAGTATTTTAAAAATTTTACATAAAGGTTCGATTCGCTTATATCATGAATTTAGGTCATTACCGTTACAATTAGGTAAATATGATGAACCGATACACAGAAGGTGAGCAAAGTTTGATTTTGAAGTTGATTCAGTACGTCCAAGGGGCAAAAGAAGCAGGCAAAACTTTAACACCCGTAGGCGCAGTATATGATGTAAGTGTTTCCTATGCGTTTGCTATAATCATATGCTTACTTAATCACAGAGGGTTTGTGCTGCCCTGGGTGTATCGTTGTGGACTGTAAAAAGAATTAGTACAAGAGGTGTTAAAAAAGATGACGATTAGGTACAAATCGCAAAAAGTGTGGCTATTAGTTTATCTCACGGACCTCCGCTGCATGAAATACATGAACATGTAATAAGGACACGGATTTATGCCACAGGTAAATAACATTCTTTATGTTCTAAGGGAAGATTTGCTTCAAATGAAGAGGTTCGCTAGAACACTTATTGAATTGATTTTATAGGTGAGAATGTTACACTCCGTTCTTTACACAGTAATCTTCAACGACTTGATGGCGTAGAAATATCTGCTACCTCTTTGTCCCGCAGTTTGAAGAAACTGAAATTCACGTGGCGGAGATGCACCGTTTCTAATAGATTATTTTTAATGGAACAGCTCTATGTAGCTCAAAGAAGACTACAATTTTTGAGAGACTTTAAACACAACGAAACTTCACTCTTTCCATTACGACCTGTGGTTTTAGACGAAACCTGGATATACAGTAAAGGGTCTTTTAGAAGAAGCTGGCAAGATGGTACTCTCAAAACAGTTAGCAAAAAAAGTGGTGAAGGGGTTCGGTATATAATACTCCATGCAGGATCAGAAGATGGATTTGTACCAAACGCAAGTCTAATTTTTAAATCTGGTAGCAAATCCGGAGACTATCATGACTCCATGAATTGCCTTAACTTTGAGAAGTGGTTTGAACAACAATTGATCCCGAACTTGGATGAACCTTCTCTTATAATTATGGACAACGCTTCTTACCATTCAGGATTGGTAGAAAAAAGTCCAAATCAATGCTGGACAAAAATGTCACTTATAAAGTGGCTAACATCACGAGACATTACATTTGCACCAACAATGATGCAAGATCAGATCTGGGAAGTAGTGAAAAATCATATACCACCAAAACTATTTAGGTAGGCATCGCTGATAATTAAATGTTTGGTTGCAGTTAGGTAGACCTTTGGATAGGAAGCTGATTGTTATGGTTTTTTTTCACTCCACGTTGATTTTTACAGATTGAACGAATTAGCATTACAACATGGTCATCGTGTTTTGAGACTTCCTCCATATCACTGCGAGTATAATCCAATCGAAATGGTATCGTCAGAATGCAAACGGATTACGATGCAAGGATCGGTTCAATTCAGTCTTTATGGAATGAGGCACTGCACAAAGTAACCTCTTTATATGCTGTTTTGTGAAACAGTACTTAATAACTTGAATGTTTAGGTTACACCGGAAAAATGGAAAAGATATTTTGATCATACAAGAGGCATTATAAACCAGGCCTGGGAACGGGAACAACATATTGATACATTAGACATCTTACCGGTGATTGTCAACTTGGACGAATCTGATAGTGACGAAGATTATTATGATGATTATATTCATGAGGCAGAAGAGAATCAGCGTGTTTAAGAATATTATTTTGGGCCGTTTATACCTACTTGTGGTGTAGTGTCATTTTTTTCTTTTGTACATACGATTTGAATATGAACATTTGGGAGTTTTTTCAGGAATAAATATCTTCACTACCTGTTTTCTCTCACAATTGCGTTTTTTTTTAATAAATTGGATCCGTAGATATTCAAGATCCTTATGCGAATATCTCGAGTGTGTGGCAAAAGAACAGAAACTGTATGTATGCGTTGTTATTTCAATGAGCCTGTGGTATAATGCCTACGCTTTATCTCAAATTTGTAAGATATATAAATGCGAAAGGCTTACCGATAAACCATGGCCTATTCTACTTCTGCAAATGGCTAGTTAAGGGTCATTAAAATTCGCGTAACTTAACGCATATTCTTCACATTGGTAGCATGCTTAATTTCACATCAACATTAGGTAAACGAAATATTAATTTACGAACTGCCTAAACAAACTTTAAGTTACAAATGTTCGTTTTCTGTAACCATCATACACTTCATCTCAAAGAGTTTCTGATGCTCTGGAAGTATCCATTTCGACTGTCGTCGGTGCATCAAAGAATTGGTTACATGAGGTGATTACAAACGGTGGAAAAAGTTTAATCTCGAGTTTAATTCATACCAACGGAGTTCCTCTACATTAAATACATGACCATTTAGCCATTATAAAACCTGGGGACAGGAAAAAACCTATCAGGACCAGATGCCTTACAAGTGATTGTCAACTTGGACGGTCTGATAATAATGAACGATAGTGACACCTTAATAAATAAGTTGAAACGTCAATGTGACAATATGTAAACCAACTACTAATTTACGACCTGCCTTAATTTTGATATGACGTCAGATAGTGTGACGAAAGGTTCAGCACCCTTGAAACAAAGTTTTATATACCAGGTGCGACTGAGAAAAAATTAAATTTCCCGCTCAGTATTAATTTCGTTAAGTGAGCTTTTCTTGGCTTCCCTGTAGTGGTAAAAGGAAGCGCACGTGCAAATCTCACGCCACCCCTCAACCGGTATTGGTCGGGCATTCGTTCTTCGACGTACTTGACAACTTCTTCCTCGCCAACGTTACGGCACCCCTCCGTGACGCAAACGACCGCAAGCGGTTGATTACCACTTTCTTCGTCGGGTATCCCGATAACGATCGCTGACTGGATTAGTGGATGAGTCACCAAAGTGCCTTCGATTAGCGCGGGTGAAATGTCATAGTCTTTAAACTTGAACGTTTCCGTAAGCCGGCCCAGAATGTAGAAGCAGCGATCTTGGTCGTAGTAGCCGAGGTCCCCAGTCCTTAGCCATCCATCGGGGTACAAACTCTCCTTTGAGTCCATGCCGTAATAGCCGTTCATGACGTAATCGCTTTTCATGCACAATTCTCCATTTTGATTGGGACCCAGAGTCGCACCAGTGCGTGGATTGACAATCTACGGAAGATCCCGTGACGACTCGAAGTGAAACGAAACACTGACCTTACACGCGAAGTCTGCAGATATCAGACCTGAGGATCCCGGTTTTGCGTACATCAGCGCGATCTCTCGCCGACTAAGCCTGTTGAAAGTTATCACAATTCCCGAACACTCCGTCAGACCGTAAGCGATACTGCAGTTAGTACTTGGGCATAGTTCGCGTAACGCTTGCAGATGGTGTGCCGACAGTAAGGCGCCTCCAATTAATAAATCGCGTAGGTGGGAGGTGTCGACTCCGTTTGGTCGTCCGTGTTTAACCAAAGCGATCGCTTGGGTTGAGGAAAAAACGGAGAAGGTAACCTTTAGAATTAATATATCAATGACCGAACGATTTCGGAAGACTTACCGAAAATCGCTCTTGAAGTTCCCAGAAGCCTTGCGGCGCGAAGGCGGGTACTATCACTCGACATCCTCCTGCTAGAATGGTTGGGAAAAAAGTGACTGCTGAAGAAATCCAATTTTGGGTCGCGTAGGACAGCGACGTGTCGAAACATAAGCCCGAAGATCTAATGGCGGTTGCAATGAAGAAGTATTATTTGGGGATGACAGTGCTCACTAACAGTAAAAAGACTTACACGAGGACATTTGCTTGACCTAGCAGGGCTCGGTGACTCAAACTGATCCCTTGTGGAAAACCAGTGCTGCCACTGCTGAAGAAGACGCATGCTGTTTCGCGGTTGTCGCTGGTTTCGTACGGGTGGAAATCGACGTCTGGTTTTTCGGCGACAAAGTGTTTAAATTCGGCGTACTTCTCCGAATCTCCAAAAGTGACGGTGGTTGCGTCAGCATTCGTTTGCGAGAGAGCATCTTCCACAACTTCAATTAAGGCTTGATCGACGAACACAATTTTAGGTTTTACCAAGTTAAGGACACGAGTAATTTCCGGTTTGGGCCACAGTGGGTCCAGACACGCAGGTACCGCCCCGACGAAAAGCGCCGCGATTATCGGCACGCAACTATTGAGGTGGTTAACGCCGCAGACCGTTATCACATCCTTGGACTTTATTCCCATCTTACGCATCTTGATCGCCGTTGCGACACTGCGCTCCAAAAGACTTCCGTAGGTATCCCCCATTCCCGAAATTGCGTCAACCTGGAAGCAAACGACCTTGCAGATTTTCTACGTTAGGCGCTGTACCGACCTGTGCCCTCAGCAGGCGATATCTAGACATTACTTCGAAGAATTCGTACCCCAAGCCTTTGGGTTCCGGTACACAATCGGACCTTTCGCCTTTAACTACGTATTCATCCTCGTCATTGCATCTAAATTAGTAAGCATTGATTGATGATCGCTTTGTCAAGGTTAACTTAAACTTACCGACCATCCAGAAGCTCCATTATCTCTGATAACTCCAATTCTTGACTGTTGTCTAAATTTTCTTCTATTATTGTAAGCGGTCTTGGATTCAAAAGAATCACGCCTTTTGATTATCTTTTATTGTCGTATCGTGACTTATTTCAGTAACGTGACGTCGTGTCGCGCCTGATTTAGTCGTCTCCACGCGTGCAGTTGTACACGTTCTTGCCAAGGAAAATGTCGAGGTCTTCCCGTCTACGGATGGGTTGCACGGGAGCAGGTGTAGGTTATACTCCCAATAGAAGGTTCTGAGGGTTGGCGGGGCCAACTCTGTATATGTAGGTGAAATTTTCTCAATTATAATGTAGGGGGCCATCCCCGCGCGGAGAAAGGAATGAGCTGGACTTGCTCATGAGTTTTAACGAGTACGTGGTCTGCCACATCTATCTCTACGTTTATGATCAGCGTCCTGATGCAGTTCGTGACCCTCCCGAGTTCAACGAAGGGTTCCCACCCAGCTCCTTAGATCATTGTCCAATATGGCACGCACGTCCCTATCGAGAATTCGCAGTTCCCTTCCAAAAGTTAAGTAGGCCGGGGTGAAACCGGTGCCACTATTCATTGCAAACCGAACTGCTGGTAGAACCTTTCTTCATTTGGTATGACCGTTGCCCACGAAGATGACTTCCGTTGTCACTGATGACCCGTGTGGGTGTACCGTAGAGAAGAATTAAATTGATTGATGAAAAGCGTGGCGCGGTCGTTGGCGGTCGCTTGTTTGAGAGGATCCATTTGGTGGAAGTATCCTCAGTAAGGAATATCCATTTCTTAGCTGTTTCCACTTCTGGCATCCATCCATCGCTAAAACTTCAAATCTCGGTGCCAATCAGAGGTTGGAACCGGAACCGATTGCATTTATAAGCTTCTGACTCGGAACCGTTATTTAAAGTTATGATAACCGGAACCGATACCGGTACCGTTAGTACTATTATTTATTTTCTATAATTTTTGATAATTCATATTTTATTTATTTATGTTGGAACTCTTCAAAACCGAATAAATCCTGGAACCGGAACCACAAATTACTAAAACCACGGAACCGGAACCCTTAAAAAGTTATTCCACCTAAATAGTGCGGAACCGGAATCTATATTTCATATGGGTCCCAACCCCTGATGCGAATACAGGGTTTTGACTCCACCATCAGTAAAATCTTGTCGGAGGTTACCACATTCCCCTTTTCGGTATCCATTTCCGATGTCCCGTTCCTCCGCAATTCGGGTTTTGGTGGATTTTGCTAAAAACCGTCCACAAAATAATATTCAATTTTTGGGGCACTTCTCATAGCTGGAGATTCTGTTGGCGACGCGAGAAAAAGAGACCGCGATTCGATCTTTAAGAAATTTTAAGCCGCGTGACAAAATTCGCCCGAAGTCGACTACCCCTAGAAGATGCACCTTGGAAAAGGTGGTTAATTTCGCGCCTATTAAAAAAAATCCGTCACGCACTTTAAGACACCCTGTATAATAACCTTGGCCCAATAGTACGTTACGTCGCTGGAAAACAATGGCGACCTTTCTTATACTTTTAAGAACGTGTTCGCCAATTTTCAAAGCCATCGGGCGTTTCTAAACAGTTATTATTGTGCGTATGGACAGACAGACAAACGGACAGAAAGTGAGGTGCTAACTTTATCGACCTGGGAAGCTGACTCATTTCGTATGTTTTCTTCTTCTGGCGTTATTCCCGCACAATTGCAGGGTCCGCAGGCCCCAAACTCCATCGAAGCATGCGCATTTCCACCGAGTGAAGTGCGCGCTCGTGCTTCGCCAATACAGGTCGTAGAGAGCAAATTGTAAGACTGAAATATGCTTCAACGCGAACGATCGAACTAAAATTACCCGTTGTCTAGCCCCTAGCAAAATGATAAATTAACGTTTAGAAGAACACGACAGGATAATGTTATCCCCGTGTGGGAAAGCGCTACTTTGGAGACACCTGTCGGTATTTTATCACAAATCAATATTTACGTGCCTTTTTGACTATATTTAAAGCACAAAATAATTTGGAACTACGCAAATTCTAGTAATTGATTTATTATGGAGAATAAAACTTGATAAATCAGAAGTAAATCAGCATATGCATGATTAAACCGCATTTTTGGTATTCCAGATTGGCAAAGTAATTTTTTCCGAGACAGTAATCAGTATTTGTTTTTGTTTACTTCTGCATACTGAAATTTTAAATTATCGATCTCACTAGTAATCTAATTTAGCTCGGCTGATCAGGTGTGGGTATAGATTTCTATAGAAATGTCCGACATTTTGCTCCAATGTGGCGGAATTGACTGATTCACGAACTTAACCGAGACGTTTATGCGTTACACCAACCCTTAAAGTTTGATCGAAATCGGTTTATAATTACGAAAGTTATAGTGTTTCTTGGAAGTGATACATACTGATTCAAATTCGAGGGCCACCATGGGGATCTCGGGAACTGTAAGAGATAAGTAGGTAGTTTAAATTGTTACTTTTAAATTTTAAGTTTGACGTTTCGTCTCTAGTCAACCATCATCAATTTTGTTTTTTCTTATGGAAGTAATTTTAACTTTTTTAACTTTTACTTCCATAAGAAAAAACAAAGTTGATGGTCGCTTTTAAAATTTAAACCTAACATCTTGTTGTCAATTTTGTAAGCAAAACCATCAAATTTATAAATGTGAATCTTTTTTAAACTTGAGCGTTTTGGATAGAATAAATGCAATTAAGCAATTAAAATTATGTTTAAATTGTTTACGAGATAAACATTTTTCCTTTAATTGTAAACTAAATAAATGTTATAAGTGTAAAAAAGCGCACAATATTTTATTGCATTTAGATCAAGAAAAATCAAGTTCGGGAATTGAAGTCGACTCTAACCATGATAACCAGGTGGCTGAGGCCCATTCTTCGAGCGTTAGTTGCGTATCAGAAATAAAGTTAACAAAAGCTGTTTCACAAGTGTTATTATCTACAGCAATTGTTAAAATTAAAAATCATAGAAATGAGTACATAGCGTGTAGGGCTTTAATTGATAGCGGATCGCAAAGTAATTTTATTTCAAATCATTTGTGCCAAAAAATTGGTGCACAGCCTCATAAAATTAATATCCTTGTAAAGGGTGTAGCTGAAGCTTTAACGAATATTGACAAGAGGGTATATGTGTCAATGGGGTCATCCCGCCTTCATTTTTTATTTCTGATCCACAAAGTACATTACAAATAAAAAGACCCGTGTGTCCTCAATTTTTATTTGCGAGTAAAATAAACCCAAAATAAATTATTGAAAAGCTGTGTTTTTAGTCCGAATTTGAAACGCTTCAGACTAAATACGTCACAAATCTACAACCAATCACGTAGAAGTGAGCTGGCAACCTTACGCGAGGGTCTGACGTTTGTCACATTTGACGTTTTGAGAGGGATGTTAAACTGCATCTAGCACGAAAGTGACAAGTGCCTGTGACAGATGACGCAAGTTATAAATGCCATTCATTCTCCTGCAATATTGCCAAGTCGTTATGTCATCTGAATGGTTCTAGGAGCTGATTGGTCGGGCTTATTACGTCACAGAGCCCGCCACAATCATATCGTTTTGAATAAACCTTTAAAACGGCACATGTTCATTATTTTTTTGCTAATCAGCCTCTATTTTTCAATAAACTGTTACTGTCCAAAAAAATGTTTTATGGTTTCAGGTACACGCTTAGTAAATTAGAACTGCGGAATTCAACTATACTGTAAACCCCCATTAAGTCTTGCTATAATAATTTTACTATTGATATTGACTGTAGTATTAACCAAGGTAACTGATGAGTTACCTACTGTATCGTTTGGGAGAAATCATATTATGTTACCAAAAGGGGTACAATTAGCTGATCCTAATTTTAATTTGTCTTCTAAAATCGACATATTGTTAGGAGCTTCTATATTTTGGTCCAGCTTATGTTTAGGTCAAGATCGACTAGGTACAAATATGCTAGTTTTACAAAATACCCAGTTTGGATGGATTATTGGAGGAAATTTAAATTTACCATTAAATAACACATCGGCTAGTTTTTTAAATATTAATTACGCAGACAAATTGCTAAATGATACGATGGTTAGATTTTGGCAGATAGAAGAAGTGGAACAGAAAAGGGTAAGGTTAACTGCGGAAGAACAATACTGTGAAAATTATTTTAGGGACACAACTAGGAGAAATTATGAGGGTAGATTTGTTGTCAAAATACCTTTTAAGCAATCTTTACTTGAGTTAGGGAATTCGCGAGATAGTGCTTTACGTAGATTCGAGTTACTTAAACGGAAATTCGAGAAAAATAAAGAATTAAAGTCCGAATATTGCGTACTTATGTTAGAATATGAGAAGTTAGGCCACATGGTAGAGAGTAAAGATAGTTCGGATAGTTTATTAACAGATTATTATATGCCTCATCATGCTGTATTTAAAACCAGTAGCCTTACTAGTAAATGTCGCGTAGTGTTTGATGTTTCCACGAAATCAAGTACTGGTATTTCTTTAAATCAAGTGCAGTACGTTGGTCCCAAACTACAGCAAGATCTTTTTTGTATACTAGCACGATTTAGAAATCATAAAATCGTGATGACGGCAGACATATCTAAGATGTACCGTCAAATTTTAATTAGTGATGAACAAACTAAATTTCAAGAAATATGTTGGCGAGCTAACGTATCGGATAGAATTAAATGTTTTGAATTAAAAACATTTACGTATGGTACTGCATCTGCACCGTTTTTGGCAGTAAGATGTTTGGTAGAATTAGCAAACGAATGTAACGAAAATTTTCCCGAAGTAAGTAAGATTATATTAAATGATTTTTATATAGATGATCTTCTCACTGGAGTAGAATCAATAAATGATGCTCTTCAAATACAAAAGTGTTTATCTAGAATTTTATCAAAAGCTGGTTTTGAATTACGCAAATGGTTGAGCAATAATAGTGCAATACTGAAAAGGTTTGAAATTAGTAAGGGATTAGATCAAGGTATTATACAAATAGGTGCGAACGAACAAAATAAAACTTTAGGAATTTTTTGGAACTCCAATGACGATATTATTCAATATTCAAAGATAATTTTGGATTCGATAAAGTCACAAAAAGAAAT